GTATCGGTTTTGGGGATCGGTTAGCACATCAGTTTCGGGGATCAGTTAGCGTATTGGTTTTGGAGATCGGTTAGCGTATCAGTTTCGGGGATCGGTTAGCATATCGGTTATTGGGATTGGTTAGCACATCGGTTTCAGGGATCAGTTAGCGTATCGGTTTCAGGGATTGGTTAGCACATCGGTTTTGGGGATCGTTAGCACATTGGTTTCGGGGATCGGTTAGCGTATCGGTTATTGGGATTGGTTAGCACATCGGTTTCAGGGATCAGTTAGCGTATCGGTTTCAGGGATTGGTTAGCACATTGGTTTTGGGGATCGTTAGCACATTGGTTTCGGGGATTGGTTAGCGTATCGTTTCAGGGATTGGTTAGCGTATCGGTTTCAGGGATCAGTTAGCACATCGGTTTTGGGGATCGGTTAGCGGGGGAGCAGTATTTCAGGGTGTGTTGCTGTTCTGCAGCCCAGTGGGGTTCAAAGGCCATCAGGGCGGAATAAATTCCCCGATCTGTGTGAAAAGCAGCCTATAGGTCTCTCTACGGGTTCAGCTCTTGTGTTGAACAGTGAGTTTGAATTTTTCTGTCTGGAGGCGATTTAGCGAGGAATCAGAAGTGGGTCATCCAGATCCAGGAAGTAAAAACTCTGCCTTGTTTTCCTTCATCCCGTTCAGCGAAGCAGGTGATTAGTCTTCACTGTGGAGCCAGAAATGAGGGGATTTCTGAACAAAACTTTTACTTTCTGGACCTGGATTATCCACCTCTGGGAGGACATGGCATGAGTGTAGATTAAATTAAAATATTACAGTGAATGTTATGATTTCTGCTGCATTGGAGGCATCTGACTCATTATTTATGATAACACCTCACTCATATTTAAAAGCAAAGAATGTATCATTAAACCTATTAGTAAGGATTATTAATTTGGATAAATAGGATTTCAGGAAAGGTTTCCTATCATATATAATCAACAGAAGCCTGTAAACCCAGATTAACAGAATATCTAATTTAAATATTGCTCCTTTTTTGTAAAGACCAAATTTTTTCCTCTGGAGATGCCAATATGTTCTGACAGAAACCTTAAAACCATATTTAAAACCAGTTTGGCCGATGAGATTAAATCCTGCCTTCAGCAACTATGATAAAGCAAAGAATATAAAGAGAAAACAAAATGAGGAGTTAGTTTGATCTCAAATGGCTGCGGCGTACATCTGTACCCCTCCGCTCTCACTACAACTCCCATCATGCATTATTCAAGCTGAAACACGGCTCACTGGCAGCTGAGAGGGAGCTGACCCAGAACTGAGGAGAAAACGGAAAAACGAGAGAAAGAGATGAATTTTCAGCAGGAGGAGGAAGGAGAACCGGAACGTCAGCTCAGATGAACGTCAACAGACGGCTGGTATCTCACTCTGAGTTTTAATCACGGAGACCAGACTCAGAACAATAAAACATTTCCAGAATGGGAATGCTGGTAACACCAGGAATGTTTCTGTCTGGATGGGATCAGAAACGTTGGTCTTGTTTTGTTGTTCAGCTTTCTGACAGAAAAACATTGATTCCCTAATAATGTATTTTTCCTCAATAAATCTTCAAAACTGTTTCGATTGTGGGTTATTTTTCAAAAAAACAAAACTATTATCAGGCTTTTGACACTCTAGGTATTAAGGGCTTCGGCAGAGGTTCTGTTTCTGTCCACAGAAACCGGGGGGGGGGTCAATCCAATCTGCCCAGGGCCTTCAGAATCAGCAGAGCTGCTGCTGTTACCTTAATATTAGTGAGGAACGTTTTCTTCAACCAATCACATTTCAGATTAGCCCCAGAGGGCCGGCAAGAGGGCCCACCCCTACGTCAGCATTTTCTGTCCTCTGATTGGTAAGAGCTAAATGTTTACAGTCAAGTTAAGCTAGCGAGAGAGATAAGGCTAATTTATGCTCAGAAACCAGGCTGCGTGTGTGTTGCAGTTAACGCAGATAATTTCTAGCTGACTGCAGACAGAGCCGCAGACAGGAGGCCTCTGATTGGTCAGTCCTACATCCGCTCTACACTATGCGTATTTCCTGTTTGGTACTTAATAGCAGAAACTTGTAGTTACTCGCGAGGAGAATAGGAAGAGACTGCAGAGTTTACAAATCTTCACCCCACTCTGCAGTCTTCAGCTTTCTCCTTGCTATTTATTGAAGAAAGGGGATGTCCCTAATTACACCAGCTGAGGTTTAACTAAGGGGAAGGGAAACAAAAGGATCTTACTTAAAACCTCAGCACATAGGTTAAAACAATTGAATTGTTCCAAGAACACATGTTTAGAAGAAACATGTGATAGAGGATGTTCAGGCCTCTTTCACAACCCGTCCGTTGCATGACCTTTACCTGGAACGATCTTAAGCAAAAGCTAATAAAAGATGAATCACACATTATACATCATAATATTTCATTAGAACACAACCCATGAAACACAAACGGAGTATAAATAAAATATTTCTAACACAGAAACTCCGGCTGTAGCTCCGTCCACCATGCCTGGCACACCTCGGACACTATCACAGACACCGTGCAGCTAGTGCAACGCTAGTTTGTAGCTCTGTGCGACGGTCTGTTGGTTTGCATCCGAAGCCAAAACACGCAGCGCCACTGCCAGACTTTGGGGAACACTCACGGGGGAACTGTGTGTCGTCCGGCGTTCGATGAGGGGTTGCGTACGGCGAACAAGTTTGTCAAACTGACACAAGGACACCTACGATTTTATTGGCTATAAATCAAAAATTCCTGTGTCACACCTGCGACACACTACTGTCAGAGGATAACCAGCCCTAGAGAAACACCCGCCTGCATCCCGACCTTTAAGGAACAGACATAAAGTCTGGTTATCGTCCCGCAGCAGTGTGTCGCAGTGAGCTTGGCGCAGATATTCATGATTTCTGCCCAATATTGAAGGGTGGTCTGCGCTATGTTATTCTACCCTAACCCCTAGCTGTGGGTCTAGATACGGCCGAGGCGGTGAGGAAGTAGGGGCAAGTTTGTGCGACAACAGAGGGACATGAGGGCCAAAAAGAGCGGGGATCCAGGTGGAAAAAGGGTCCCAGCGTTCTCGCGCACCTCGCTTTGCTAGCTGCTCCATCTTCACCAGTAGTTTTCCATAATGGCGGTCAGACAAACAAAACAAGCCGGTAAGGAACCAAACAGGAAATACGCATAGATTAGAGCGGATGGAGATCTGACCAATCAGAGGCCTCCTGTCTGCGGTCACCTACAATTTGGGAGAGGTGCAGGTGTCTGTGGGGGGTGGGGTGGGGGTTATCTGCGTTCACTGCGACACACGCAGACCACTTGATTTCTGAGTATAAATCAGCCTTTTGTGTTCTGGTGTAAGAAACAGACGTTCCAGGTGGTTTAACTCTAAATTCCAGCAGTTTAACCTTTAATTTCTTTCTCTAGAAGTTTCCTTTTTATTTCGACGTTAGTTTCAGGTTATTTTATCTTATTGTTAATAATAATACTGATTACATTTAACTTGATATCATATGTTTGATAAATACTAAAAATCTCCTCAGATGAACGTTTGTCAGTGGAAATGAGAACCAATGCAGGGCTGGTCTACAGACGTTACTCACATGTGGTTAAGCTCAGGTCTCCTCCAAGCTTAACGTTGCGTCATGCAGTTTAAAAAGCAGGACCATGCAGACACAACAGGAAGAACAGAAACTAGGAACAGATGGAAACGAAACGAAAATATAATCATTGTTCATCATGCAGAAAAAAAAAACACACATGGAGAAAAACATGCAAAATAATCAGAAGAAAAAAAAATCAAAGACGTTTGGAAAGAGAAACATTTAGGAGGTTTGACTGCCTGACATGTTGGATTCTGGTTCTGACAGGAGGCTGAAGGTTGGAGCCTGATGGAGGTTCTTTAGGTTTAATCTGACCCAGAACCGGACCAGAACCTGATCCAGACCCTGATGCTGACCCGGCTCCACCCGACCGTCTGCAGCAGGCTCAATGACAGCGAGTCATTCCAGCTGAGTCACAGCCTACCGGGTCAGGGCGCCGTGCCCTCCCATCCAAAACACTTTCATTTCTTCTTCAGGTGTCGGGAGGAGCAGCGGAGCGACGGGTGGAGCGCTCAGTGGCGTTCTGCCAGCAGGCTCCTTGGAGGATTGGATACGGAGCAGCAGAGCTCATCAGGAAGCAGTTAACAGGATGACATTTCACTTGGAGGCTCCGGGTCGAGCTGCTGAAGGCTTTTAATGCGATGATCAGAACCATCCGTCTGTGTTCACTCCAGAGAGACGCTCAACGCAGCCTGGAAGCGTCTGTCTGGTTTTACCAGAGAACCAGAACTCCGACCACTGGGTTCCAGTGATCTGGAACCACATAGGATACTGGTTCATTTGGTCCAAGCCAGAACCATAGGTTAGGTCTAACCCAGTCCTAGTTCTAAAGGTTTTCAGAAATGAACTTTGGCAGAAAGTTCCTATTGGCTCAGAGACGAGCCAATCAGGAGCTGGGAAAGCCTGACCAGTTCGGAGCTCACCGGATCAGGAATGTTCGCTCACAATTCTGGAAACATCAGGAAAATTCAGCAGGAATGACAGACAGTGGCCTGTGGAGCTGAACCAGTTCCTGCTGGGATTTGGATCCAGAAGAACAGGAAGCAGCTGATCAGCCCACTGAAGCAGAACTGAGCAGAAGCTGGAGGCTGCAGCGGGTCCCTGCAGATCTGCACCATGTTGGACTTTATGGACCTGAAGCTTAGCTGCATTACAGCTGAGGGGGAAAATGGGTCGGCTTGGTGACCCAGGATCCAAGCCCGGTCAGAGGGAGGTCAGCAGGTGGTCATGTGACCCTCCTTCCAGCACCAACTGCTCAGACATTTTAATGTTGTTTCATTATGATTCTGAAGAACCTTCCTGTGATTCTTCAGGCTGTTTTTCCAGCCTGCAGACCAGAACCAGACTCTCTGATGCAGGCGTCAGCGGGGGGGAAGAGGCTTAGCGGAGGTCTTACTTTCGTCAGGGTTCGGCGCGGCAAGGATGGCGCTGTGCTGCTTCTTCACCTGCTCCACATCCTCTGACAGCTTCTCTATGCAGCCTCGGATCTCCTCCACCTGAAGCAGAGACAGGAAGCCAGTGGATCAGCCTCCAGGACAGCTTCACACAAGGACAGCTAGCTTTGGCTCATTTAGCATCAAATAAGTAGTAAAACTCTGCCCCCTTATAAAAAAGCTCAAATCAATCCACTTTCAAAATGTCAGAAATGGCGTTGAGTTCAAAGTTTTATCCAGCAGCCCAACAAAGCCTGGTTTAAGTTTAGAAAACATGCAAATAGAAACAGACGAACAGGTTTGGAATGAGGTTCGAAAAGAGGCGGACCTGTTCGTCTAGTTCAATTTGCATTTGATCTGAAGAATCGACCCGAAAAGGGCAAAAATCGTACAGTCTAAGCCCGGCTTTAGCAAAACTATTGTCTTAAACTAAGCTTTAAACTTGGATGTTAGATCCAGTTCCAACCAGGTTATTTAAGGAGGTATTCCCTTTGATCTCCTCCTCCATTTTAGATGTGATTAATCTATCTCTGTTTCAGGGATATGTACCAAAGGCTTTTAAGGTTGCTGGAATTAAACCTCTGCTTAAGAAACCGTCTATTGACCCAGATGACTTGATAAATTATAGACCTATATCCAATCTTCCGTTCTGATCTAAAACTATGGAATATTTTGGCTAAATGAGTGGGTGACCACTTTCAGAAAGGTGTCAGCCACTGCTGTTCTAATCTAGCCATCTGCAAAATAAAAAAATATTCAAATTATTATCCAAACATATTTCCCCCCAACCTGACCCCTACGTGACCCCAGTGTTTTATACTTCCTCTCTTCCTAAAAGCTCAAACTAGCAGAGCTTCTTCAGGACCAGAATCAGACCGTCTCTCTGTGAATTTTTATCTTTGATTTTATTGACCACATGATTTTTATGGTTGATTTTTTATCTTTGATTTTATTTGCACTGTGTAGCACTTTGAGATTTTTCTTAATGAAAAGTGCGGTACAAATTTGATTTATTATTATTATTATTATTAATTGTTGTGAATAAACTCTGTTTCTTTTCCGCTCAGGTGAGTTAAATTGACACTCAAACGGATGGATCAGCTGTTTGCGTGTGAAGCTGGAGCCTCGAGGGAGGATCACTCACTGACCACTGGACGTGCGTCTCCGTGTCTCACCTGTTCGAAGAACTCATCCATGAAGTGGTCCCTGTCCACTTGCACCACCTCTTCATCATCATCGCTGTCCTTAGCCTGCAGACATGAAGACAGGATGAAGGTGAGAACCTGAATGACTCTGATTGGTTCAAACCGATCACATGAAATCCATCAGTACAGAAATCAACAGGAGCTTAAAGCAAAGAGAAGAAAGAAACCAGGAATCTGCTGCGATGCACGACGAGTCGTTTGGATCGATTGTTTTCTGAACTGACCGCTGCTTTCACATTGGTTTCATTTCCATCAGCTTGATTTGTTCCTTTCATTATTTCTGCAGACTTTGCCTCCAGAGAATTCTTTTTTTTTTTATCCTGTTTTTCTGTCGAGCTTCAGACCTCTGGCCTGGATTTAATGGCTCCATGTTTCACACATCTGAAGGAAGCGTCCATGAGGACAATGAGAGTCCAGGGAGGAGCTGATCACTGCAGATGTTCAATTATTAAACATGTGAAAGGACAGCAGGTCCGAGGAGCGTTCTGGATGGGTTCTACAAAACCAGTTCCCCAAAATGGATCATCTGGCTGCAGACTAACTGGTAACTGGACCAGACCGAATCCAATCACTAAAAAAAGCTTGTTCAAAAATCTCCTTTCTGTGACGATGAAGCAGAAGGAGGTTCTACTGACTGAAGGAGGAGGTTCTACTGACTGAAAGAGGAGGTTCTACTGAGTACAGGAGGAGGTTCTACTGAGTACAGGAGGAGGTTCTACCAGCTGCTGACAGACGTTCTAAAGCAGGTCTGCCCAAAGTTGGTCCTCCTGGGTTTAAAGGTTTCCTGCTTCACAGGAAGTCTAGTCTACTGATTACAAAGGAGGTTCTACTGACTACAGGAGGAGGTTCTATTGACTGAAGGAGGAGGTTCTACTGACTACAGGAGGAGGTTCTACTGACTGAAGGAGGAGGTTCTACTGACTGCAGGAGGAGGTTCTACTTACTTAGGGAGGAGGTTCTA